CCCTAACCCTAACCCTTAACCTAACCCTAACCCTAACCCTTAACCTAACCCTAAACCTAACCTAAACCTAAACCTAACCCTTACCTTAACTTGAATCGGCTTGCTTTCAAAGCGCTTTTTAAAGTGACCTTTTTTCTCCGCGGTCGCTGTTGTCGCCCTGCTGATGACGTCAGCGACGCGGTTTAATCGGGCGCGCTTTAGTGGAGCACGGTTTTGTCGTGCCACGGGTCACCTCATGGTTGCTGCTGTGTTGCAATATTTTCAGGGAGGGCTTATTGGGGGAGGGCTTATTTTAGCGCATGCACTCAAAAGCCCAATTGGGCTTATTATCCGGGGAGGTTTTATTTTCAGGGAAACAGGGTAGTCTCTTCCATTTTAAAGCAGAACGTCAATTAAATTAATGCCAAAACTCAAGTGGTGTCATTTTTCATTCAATCTTTATTTCTTGAAAAACATCTACATTTGAAAAGTCCCAAGCACCAATGGTTATTACAGTCTAAATATATGTTTCAGTTGTGTCAGCATTCCTCACTAGTTGGAATATTGATGGTTTGTCTTTATATTAAAACCTGAATGGAAGTATTTGTTTAAATTGCAGTTAGCATTTAACTCCAGATCTAATAGACCTCAGACTGTATGGCTATTCTGTCTTGGATGATAGTTAAGAATGTTAGATTGGGGTAGAGTATTCTAAATTTAGGTTGAAAGAACATGCCTGTAGGATTTTAATATTGCTCACTGGTGATAATTACAACACTGAAAGTAATGATTATGAGGACCCAAGATAATGAAGTCACAATATATCTAGTCCCGTACTTTAAAATGGAGATAAGTAGTGGTTTGTGGGCTATTAATCCAGAAAGATCTGTGTGTGTGCTCCCCAAGTCCCTTTGATTGAACAGTGTCATCCATGGGGATCAAAGAATGCCTTGTTTGTTACATCATCCCAGAAACCTATCTCTTTCCACCCTGATGATATTCTGAAAGCCCTTGAAAACTTGGTGTATTCCCAAACTGTAGGGCAGGGTGGGTTTAAAGGCCCCATAAATTATCTCTTTGATGCCTTTTTCCCCTGCATGTGCATGATTCTTTAGCTCTATTTTATATTTCTTTAAAGCCAGGGTGTCAAACTCAAAGGCCCGTGGGCTGGATCTGGCCCGTGGGGTGTTTAGATGTGGTCCATGGGGCCACCCTGGAAACAGCAAAGGACTTGTGTCTACAGTGCCTCTGCCAGTGATAATGGAGCTCGAGAGGGCTACATGCGGCCCTCCCGAGCTCCATTTTCACTGGCTGAGAGTTGCAGGAGGCCATCGCAGCCGAAAACAGATGCAGCCCTCAGATGAATTCGAGTTTGACAACATTGCTTTAAAGAGTAAGCCATCCAGAGTAATCATGAGGCAGGTTGTTTAAATTTAATAAAATGAAAGCGAAAAAATAAATATTTTGCAACATGTGAAGGAGTGAAGGAAGAAAGACTAAATTAAGGAACCATTGTAATGCGCTCTACATGGGGCTGCCCTTGAAGAGTGTTCGAAGAATCCAATTAGTCCAGAATGCAG